TATCATTGGAGTCTTTTATTTTTTTCCTGTCAGGTAAGTCTTGCTGAGTACAATCGAGTACTCAGGGTTTTATTCCCCCTGTTGTAAGTGACAGGTGGATGCTAGAGCTGACTCTTGTGTGTGGAAACCCCCTGGTGGGCTCAGAGAGGATTCCTTTCACGCTACGATCGTAGTGTTTATTTATAACCCTCACTAATTTTTTTAGAAGAAAAGTTTTATGACCTGCCATCATAACTGGTTTATAAATGTTCACTATATTAAGGATTCACCATTAATCATCATTTTTACTGTAACTCTAATCATATGTTGTTCTCCGCTGCAAGATAAAAATGTGAACCTAAAATGTATAAACTCTTTTACATTTAAAATTGTCTTAATTCCGCTATTGCATTCAATTTGTTTAAGTACTCTAATGTTGTAATAAAGTGGTGTAAGAAATGGTTAAGAATATTGTAAGCTTTATTCTCTCATTTATGATCCTGATGGAAAAATGTGGATTTTCGAGTTCTCTCTTGGGGTGTGCTCGACGGAACATCATGATTTAGTGCACTCTCTTGGGTACTTAGTGTCTAATGTAAGACAAATACTCTTGGGAGGATATTAGATTAGGCGGTTCTGCCACAGATATCTTTTGGTATCTGGGATCGATGCTACAGAGGGATGGAGATATTGATGCGGGCGTTAGCCATAAAATCAAAGCATGAGATCAAGTGGCGACAAGCTTCTGGCATTTTCTATGACAAGAGGGTACCACAAAAGCTAAAAGGTAAGTTTTATAGACCGGTGATTAGACCGACTATGTTGTATGGAGCAGAATGTTGGCTTACAAAGATTCGACATGTTCAACAACTGAGTGTTGCATAAATGTGTATGTTGCGATGGATTTGTGGTCACACAAGAATGGACCGAGTTTGGAACGATGATATGCGTGATCGCCTAGAGGTAGCACCAATTGAAAAAAAGCTTATCCAACATCCGTTGAGGTGGTTTGTCCATGTCCAAAGAGACCTCCAGAGGCACCCGTGCATTGTAGAGTTCTAAGCCAAGCTAATATTATGAGAAGAGGTAGAGAAGACCGAAATTGACATGGGGGAGGCAATAACAAGAGATTTGAAAGCTTGGGATATACCTAGAGATCTATATTTGAATATGAGTGCTTGGAAAGCAGATATTGAACTGCCTGAACCATGATTTTGGGCTTTTGATGGGTTTTAACTCTAGCTTATCTTAACTTGCTTGGGACTGAAAGGCTATGTTGTTGTTGTTATAAAATCTTAGGGCCTGTTTGGTTCATTCGTTCGAAGCGCCACACCGTAGATGCGTCTGCCAAAACTACTGGCGGTGAAAAGGAGCGCCAGACTTTTGGCGTCCATTGGCGTGCGTATACACTACGAGCGGCGCCGTAGTTCTGGCAAAGCTAAGATGCGGCAGCAACCAAATGGTACTGCGGCATGCCGCACTTTTGGCAGGGCATGTTGCGGCGGCAACAGAACAAAGCCTTATCCTTATTAATTAATAGAGTGTTTGGTTCCCAGCCTTGTTTTGCCACCCGTGATTGTCGCGGCGCCACACCTGTGGTATAGGAAAATTGGCGCCACACCTGTGGCGAACTTTACTGTGTGAAAAAGTTGCGGTCGCCAAACATGTGGCATCAACCAAACAGGAGCATTGATGAGGTGTGGCAGCTATGGGTGTGGCGTGGCACATGACCTAGGCTCTTAGAGCACCCTAACACAGGGCTTTTCAGTGTATGCCTCGTCAAGCCAACCTCGAAAAAAGTAGATGCCCTGTAAGGCCTTCCCCAATGCTCCACGGTGGCTCGTGGTCTCGTTAAGCCAGCTAGGTTCGGATGCCATCTGGGCAGGAAAAGCAGTGAGATGGTAGCTTTACATACTGTCCGAGCAGCCAACAGAGGCAGCCGGTGCTTTGTCTAACAAGTCGCTGAAGCCACCAGCGGAGCTCCACGTTGGAGAAGGAGAGCAGCTTTAGCACGTGTTTCCGTTAGACCACCGATGCCGACCCATCCCTCTGTCGCTTACATGCCCCACAGCCGGAGGTACGTAGACACACAAGCACTGCCGGAACCTAGTAGCCAAGGTGCAGAAGCGCAAGCGCCGTCGTCACGGTCCATGGCCGCGAACCCACGATCGATTCTTTGAAGCCGGAATCTGTGCATGGATGTGGACGCCCTTAGGCGGGCCAGGGGCAGTCGTCTCCGTCGGCTTCGACTAGCACCAGGAGAGTTGGCTACAACACACCGTCATGCTGGTGGCCATAGAACCAAAGAAGAAGAAGATCCATGGAGATTGAAGTTTGGTACGACAGACAGAAGAAAATGGGACGACAACAAAAATATGCTCGGGTTGGATTAATAGTAAGACCTAACTTTTCAAGTCAAACCGGTACTCAGGCCCTGTTTAGATTTCAAAAATTTTTTGCGCAGTACCCGTCACATCGAATCTTGCGGCACATGCATGGAGTACTAAATGTAGACAAAAAAAACTAATTGCACAGTTGGGTGAGAAATCGCGAGACGAAACTTTTGAACATAATTAGTCCATAATTAGACACTAATTGTCAAATATAAACGAAAGTCTTCAGTAGCCAAAATCCAAAATTTTTTGGATCTAAACGGGCCTCAATATCTGGTGTACTAAATATCTCATCAATCAATGTTCCCAAAAAAAAAAATCATCAACTAAACACCTACTCCCTCTGTCCCACGACAATTGTCGTTCTAGCTCAGTATTTAAGTGACCAGGTTCATAAAGAAGTCCATGTATCTAGTCATATTGATGTCCAGGTTCAGACCTGCAATGATGCATCTGGTTCAGAGCTACGACGACAGAGACAACGGGACGGAGGGAGTACAAAACTTGCTCACCAAAGAATCAGTGCCCGGTTTTTTCAAGTCTCGAGAACAAAAGGATGGTACGTATTCCAAAAGCATGTGCGTGTCAGGTCACTTCGATGCAGGCTGAGTGCGCTCCACAAGACCACAAAGCGCTGGCTGCCGAGCACTGAGCACAGGAACACTCGTACCTTTTCTCCTGGTGGATCCGGTCCGTTCGTTCTGGCATCCTTTTGGTGAGAAAATGGTCACGGTGGAGCAGGTTTCTCGGCCATCTGTCCCCCAACAGGCGAATCTGCTTGGGGTTCAGTGCACTGCACAGGCCATTTCTCACCGGCGGGTTCAGGACTTTCAGGCTCAGCGGATGACGGCCACAGAGCTGGCAGTACTAGTAGGTGGCGAGCCCAGGCGTGCGCAGCCAATGAACCACGTGATGGTCTGACGACACGAGTCCCTCGGCACGCCAATGCAGGCGGGCCCGCCAAGGACAAGGAATCCGCCACCGACAGCTCTCCCAGATCTCGTTGTTTATTCCCGCGCCACAGCAAGAAAACCTTTTTTTCCCCCTTTGCCGCTGCCGCTGGTTAGTCCCCGTCCTCGTCCCCGTCCCGCGTTAATTAACGTAACCCACCTTGTGACGACTGACAGAGGGAGTGTGACCCCTGACCGATTAAGGTGCGCGGGCTCACGTCCACGCTAGCTACTAACAGCCACAAGGCACTGCACGCATCGGTTTCGCGTCGCGTGGGGCGCAACTAATTTTTTTTTTTTCACAGGACAAAGTACGTGACTTATTTCACACTACTACTAATACTATAGGGTGCGGTACACGCCAGTAGCACATGACACGACACCGGTGGTATCCATGACCATTGCGAACAGGTAGTGTAACCAGCACCTCACATTTCTCCTGATTTCTTTTGAAGGGGAACATAATGCTTCTCCTTATTGGCAAAAGTTGGTTCTCGTAGCCTAGTAGGCAACTTAGATAGATAGGAATCTCGTTTTAGTTTAATACATGTATATCTAAGCAGATAATGCTAGTAGTCGTAGTATATATGCGTATGCCGGGGCTGAAATTAAGAAATGGTGGTTGTTGGTTATTAAAAAGAAAAAAGAAAGAAAGGGATAACCATCATAGGTAGGGCCAAGGGCCAAGCGCACCTCACCCATTTCCTCTCCACCACATGCTCTGTGGTGTGACTGGTGTCGTCTTCTCTTCCTGAGTCCTGACCCATAATGCAGCAGCTCTTGTTAAACTACTAGTACACATTAGAAAAAGGGCAAACAATAAAGTAAAAAAAGAGTGCCAGAATCAGCAACGGGTGGTTAGTGTACTACACCTAGTGTAGCCGTACTACCACTAAATGCGTCGTGATCGAGCCTTTGGGGAACGGTTACAGGTTACTGCTTTGCAAAGGAATAGAAAGCAAAGCAGATGGGAACAAGTTAACGCCGTCGCTTTCATGCATTATTGGCCCCCAGTCTATCTGTCACGTACTACTCCTTTCATGAGGGCGCGTACAAACAATGAAACAATTGCGCCTCCCCATCGAGGTCTACAGTACTGTACAAAAGTTAATAGCAAAGACCTACCCACCCTTTTCTTACAATATCCTGCAACTAACGCGGTGACGACCGCGGTTTCTCATGCATGCTGAATTGCTTTGCAGCTATAGCCGGGTTCCAAACAGTACAGGCAGCCGCAGCATGTGAGGCCTGAACAACGGGCACTCAGTGGGTTCGTATAGCAGCTTCAAATGATCAAAACTCGTACCGTATGAATCGGTACAAACTCCGGCCGAGCCTCAGCAATGCCCCCAAAGCGGGGCAACCCAACCATGGTGCCGACTGCCGAGCGGGAGCCTCCCCTTGTACGCGTCCCTCCTTTTGTACCCATGCAATCACGCAATTGCGCTGCACCTGCATAGACACAGGAGAGGGCGGATCGGGGGGCAGCCAGCGCGGACGCGCACAGGCGTAGCAGACCCCACGAGTGAAGTGGAGTGGCCACTGGCTACCAGCCTACCACCCTGGCGCGGCGCGGCGCACCGACCCACCCGTCGGTCGATAGCGCAGCGGCAACGACAGAGGACCCTCACCCTCTCACCCTCACCCAGCCCAAAGAGTCGGCGAGCGGGGGAAAGCAATGCCCCAACCACCTGATCCCTCCACCCCATCGCACGCCATAACAAAGCAGAGCACCACGGCACACACACCTCCACACCGCCCCCCACGCAGTGCCGCGCCGCACTGCCGCCCTGCCATCTCCCATAACTCACTCGCCTCCGCACGCGCACCCGCCTCTGCCTGTCCCTCCCCCCAGCTCACTCGTGTCGTGCACGCCGTCCCCTCCCACCCCACGCGCCAAGAACTCGCATTGCCGCCGCCGAGCCAGCCAGGGGAGGGGAGGAGCGGCCGCGGCAGCGCAGGGAGGAGGAGGAGCAGGAGAGCAGCCGGCGGCAGGATGTTCGGGCGGGACCCCTGGGGCGGGCCGCTGGAGATCTCCAACGCCGACTCGGCGACGGATGACGACCGGAGCCGGGACCTGGACCGGGCGGCGCTGATGCGGCAGCTGGACGAGACGCAGCAGAGCTGGCTCCTGGCGGGGCCCGGCGACCAGGCGGGCAAGAAGAAGAAGAAGTACGTCGACCTGGGCTGCGTCGTCGTCGACCGCAAGATCTTCATGTGGACCGTCGGCACCATCCTCGGCCTCGGCGTCTTCATCGGCTTCATCATGATGATCGTCAAGCTCGTCCCGCACAAGCGGCCCCCGCCGCCGCCGCCCGACCAGTACACGCAGGCGCTGCACAAGGCGCTCATGTTCTTCAACGCGCAGCGATGTGAGTTTCATCTCTGTTCTGCTGCTGCTGCTGCACAGCTCCCGTCCTAGTTCCTCCCTTCCTCCTCTCGCTGAATTCTGCCATCAGATCCGGTTTTGCGTAGACATGCACATCGTTCTGGCAGCTAGAGATGTTCGCCATGCCATTTTCTTGCCTCTCTTTGTTGCTTGAGTTGGGCTGCCGCGTATTTCATTCGACGTTTCTACATTTAGCATGGTTTGGGCGCTCAAGATCTGACCTTTTTTCAAGCAGACGTATACTCCGTCGTATATTTAACACGAACATAGTCCACGTGGGGGACAAAGGAAATCACCAGATTCACCACCAAATCCCACTCTGACCTGAAAAAATAAGGCCAGAGACTATGAATTCGTAAAACCAATTAAAATTGACGAAGAGAATGAGTGCACCGACAGAAATTCTGTTTCACCTGCTCTGCTCACTCACGATGTGTCTGTCTTCTGGAATGCCAGCCGGTCCGCTGCCGAAGCACAATGGCGTCAGCTGGAGGGGCAATTCCTGCATGAAGGATGGCCTCTCCGACAGCACCGTCCGCCGGAGCTTGGTCGGAGGCTACTACGATGCAGGGGACGCCATCAAGTTCAACTATCCTATGGCCTGGTCCATGACCATGCTCAGCTGGAGTGTGATCGAGTACAGGGCAAAGTATGAGGCCATCGGTGAGCTCGACCATATCAAGGAGCTGATCAAGTGGGGAACAGACTACATCCTCAAAACCTTCAATTCATCTGCCGACACGATAGACAGGATTGTCGCTCAGGTTGGTAACCATATAGACCATCTTGATGGCTGATTTGCTCTGTCCCAAGAAATTGGTCATCAGATCCACCCAATTCAGTACACTTCTGGTGTCCTTTTTACAACACATCTGCAGACAGCAGATCACTGATTCACATATGAACTTCTTATTGCAGGTGGGTGTAGGTGACACCTCTAAAGGCAGCAGTCAGCCTAATGACCATTACTGCTGGATGAGACCAGAGGATATCGATTACAAAAGGCCAGTCACTGAGTGTCACTCTTGCTCAGATCTAGCATCTGAAATGGCTGCCGCCCTGGCTGCAGCTTCCATAGTGTTCAAGGACAGCAAAACCTACTCTGACAAGCTCGTCAAAGGTGCAAAAGCACTGTACAAATTTGGCAGGCTGCAGCGTGGGCGATACAGCCCCAATGGATCTGACCAGGCAATCTTCTACAATTCCACCAGCTACTGGGATGAGTTTGTGTGGGGTGGTGCGTGGCTGTACTTTGCCACAGGGAACAATTCATACCTCACAGTCGCCACGGCCCCAGGAATGGCAAAGCATGCTGGAGCCTACTGGTTTGGAAGTCCAAACTATGGAGTATTTACCTGGGATGACAAACTTCCAGGAGCTCAGGTTAGCATACTTCGTACTCCGGCATTGAATCCATAAAAGTATTCAGCGTGATCTTAATAATGGAAAGGAAAAACATGATCCTCTATACATGCCAGAAACATTTTGTATAAGCTGAACATAGAAAGAAAAAACTTCATTCTTTCTCAAGCTACTACTACACTGTCAAAGAAAATCAGAAAAGTCTTATCAATGTGATAATGCAGCTTTCTAATGAATATTGATCATCATTAACATAGTTTCTACTTTATCCCAGGTTCTTCTCAGCAGGTTGCGACTCTTCCTAAGTCCAGGGTACCCTTACGAAGAAATACTGAGGACATTCCACAACCAAACTGACAACGTTATGTGCTCATATTTACCTCTATTCAATTCATTCAACTTCACTAAAGGTTGGTGATGTCCCTCTTTGTTTCTCTTCCTTGCTACACAGAACAAAGCTAAGCAATGGAACATTTTGCAGGAGGATTAATACAACTCAACCATGGAAGGCCTCAACCACTTCAGTATGCTGTCAACGCAGCTTTCCTTGCTTCTTTATACAGTGACTATCTTGAAGCTGCAGACACGCCTGGGTGGTACTGTGGACCTAATTTCTACACCACAGAAGTCCTCCGCAAGTTTGCCAGGTCACAGGTAAAGTGTTGTTCTTAATGCTCTTTAAGTGCCCAAACATACATTAGCAGGGAAAGTGAATTGATAGTTAAATCTGTTCAATTTGCAGCTTGATTACATCCTTGGAAAGAACCCATTAAAGATGAGCTACGTTGTGGGTTTTGGAAACAAGTACCCGAAGCGCCCTCATCACAGAGGTGCATCAATACCTCATAATGGCGTCAAGTATGGATGCAAAGGAGGTTACAAATGGAGGGATACAAAAAAGGCAAACCCTAATATCCTTGTTGGAGCAATGGTGGCTGGACCTGACAGGCATGATGGCTACAAAGATGTCCGCACAAACTACAATTACACAGAGCCTACTCTTGCAGCAAATGCTGGTTTGGTTGCAGCGCTGATTTCTATATCTGATATCAAAACTGGACGGTTCGGCATTGATAAGAACACCATCTTCTCTGCAATTCCTCCAATGTTCCCAACACCCCCACCACCGCCATCAGCGTGGAAACCATAAAGAGACAGATCTCTGAATATTTTCAAAAGCACCAAACAGGGAAATGGAGCAAACATATGATCATTTGGTATAGCAAAGGCCAGAAAAAGGAAAGCGGACAGCATAAGCTTATAGAGCTTCTATTTCTGTACCAGTATGACAGATCAGTATAAAATCCTCTGTCAAACATAGATCGGAACTTGTGTGCATCGCGTGAAGCTAATTTTTGGGGTCTTGTTGCTATTGGCATTCCAGCTCATGTGTGAAGTTCTTTTTGTAGAAATGGCACATTTACAAATTATTTTATAGGAGTGACTTTTCATCATAGTAAAGATTTTGTGTGACCTATACGCTTGCTTCATTTTGATCCTGTTACTTTGTATTTAAAAATCCCTATTTCAGGGGAAACATGTTCACTAAGTTCTCAAACATTACAAGGGAATGGCAAAAGCACAAATTAGAAAATGATCTATGGCGACTTCTTTGTGCATGCCCTGAAGCAAAGCAAAAGTATCTCTAAGAACTTGTGCAGAAATTATGATGACCTAAGTGACTTCCCATGAAGGCATTTCCAACAATTCTTTTATTTCCTTGAGGGATTGGAAGGCATTTACAATCGTTAACGAACTATTATCGCAAGAGAACACAAGAACTTCATCGAACACAGACCAACAACATGATAAATCAAACATGTGTGAATCTTAGAGACAAAACATATTGTCATGATCCATGCAATAAGGTCTTGTAAACAATGCAATCAAGGTAGAAAACAGAGAAATAAAAATAGTCATGTGGATGGCTCAGGTTAGATAACAGGAAACAACAGAGTTTTAAGTTGCGGTGCTGATAAACTGCAATGCATAGTGCTGAAAGGAAAGGCAATTTTTACACAAGTTATTCTGCAAACTACATGATCCCAGGAAGTTAAATGACATAAAAAGTTCATAATGCACGTAAAATAACGATTATTCCCTACTATGTATGCAAGTGAGTTTGTCCATGAACCCACACATCGACCATTTAAGCAGGTTCCACGCGGGAGCCTGCTTAAAGTGCCCCATTTGCAGGTTGAAACCCGCTTAAAATGACCCATTTGTGGATTCAAGAATAAACCTGCTTGCATCGTTATTCCCTAGTCAATGGTCAGCAAGATGAACACTCTTAGAAATATTTTACCTTATGTGCAAACAAACTTTATTATAGCCTCGAATTATCTTGTGAATAATGGCCTGTCCCAAAACTTCTCCCTGGTCTCATTGCCTGCTCGCTGGCAAGTCCTTACATCAAATCCTCCCTTCTTACAGGAGCACTCAGTTGGCACTAGTTTACACATATATTAATTTGTAGCCATGAACCACTACCATCCTAGGTATCTCAACCAAGAACACTTCTCTTGCAAGACCATCATCTCTCATGCAAACAGATTCGGCTTTATCCATAAGCTCGTTTGTTTCAGATCATCTTGTGACTGGTCGCATTATGGGTTTAATTTGCATCACCTGTCGAAATCTTGCTGTAATGACATCCTCAATTGATTGACATAGCTCTGCTGGCAAGGCATCCTCACCAGCATCGTCAATTGCAGCCTTCACCAGCTTGTATGTATGCTCCCTAGGCACATGTCCGCTTTCAGCCATATCAATCAAGAATTGCCTCGCCTCGGTAACACGCCGGCTCTCACACAAGGAGTGGATGATGGGCGTGTATGTGCTCGTTGAAGCCATTCCATGCCCCCTCGCTACCATTTCCCTCATCCATTCAGCAGCCTTGTCCACCTGGTTCACCACACTGTAGTATCTGATGAACGAATTGTAAGTCACCCGGTTGGGCGCGCACCCCTTCCGAAGCATTTCATCGAACACCTCGTGGGCGCGCTCCACGCGATACGTTTTACACAGGCCATTGATCAAGCAGTTGTAGGTCACGACGTCCGGCTCGAGCCCCTTCTCCCCCATCCTCCTGAACAGCCTCCCCGCCTCGTAGATCCTCCGCCGTGCCGCCTTCCGGCACCCCGTGCCCACCCCGATCCGGCAGTACCAGGAAATGAGCACCGTGAACGTGTAGGTGTCCGGCTTGCAGCGCGCACCGGGTCGCTCCATCTGGTCGAGCAGAAACCGGGCATCCCTAAACCGCCCGTTCTGGCACAGCGCGGCGATCAAGGTGTTGTAGCACTGCGCGTCAGGGGCGCAGCGGAGCTGGCGCATGCGGTGGAACGCGGCGAGCGCGTGGCGCGGGAGCCCTTCCTCCCCGAGCGCGCGGATGACGTCGGTGATGGCGGCGGTGGAGACGAGCGGGGCGTGCGCGCGGAGGAGGCGGAAGAGCGGCGAGAGCGCGTGGGCGCGGGTGAGCGCGAGCGCCGCGGCGCGGAGCGGGGGCTCGGAGATCTGGACGGGGTGGGCGTGGGCGTGCGACCAGGAGAGGAAGGCAAGGGTGAGGGCGGCGGAGAGGCGGCGGTTGGAAGGGGACGAGGCGGAGGGGAACGGCCGTTGCGGGCAGAGGCGGCGCGGGGAGCGCGGGAGGACGAGGCGCGGGATGGCATCGAGCGCGGCGGCGATGGAGTGCGGGGAGAAGCCCGGGAAGGTCGGGGAGACGCGGAGCGTGGCGTCGAAGCGGCGGCGCTGGAGGAGGGCGACCAGGAGCTGCGGCACGAGGCGGGATGGGGACGGGGACGGGGACGGAGATGGGGAAGGAGACGGCGGCGACGGGGCAGAGGAGGGGGTGCACATGAGTAACTACTGGCTGGTTGGGCTGGGCCTGAATTCGCTGGGTTTTGAGCGGGAAGGTTACTGCCGAATGCGTACTGCCCTGATCGCCTGTTCGTCATTCTTGTTCCTAAGAAAAAAACATAAAAAGGGGAAATCAATAATCCAATAGCTCCTTTACAATACAGTAGTATTAAAGTAGTCCATATCTGACAAATAGTGAAGGAATTTCATATGGGGAAGACTGAAACAATAACAACATACCCTTGAAGAAGCTCCGAACACATTAGCTGAGTTGATAAATTGGCAATATATTCTAGGGAGTTGACATCAGAAAAATAATGTTAGCACATAAATACAGGACCTGATTCAATCATTGGTTCACCTGTATTAAGTCACAATCAGCTTTTGCAATTGTACAGTAACACTACAGGAAAAGCTAGAACTATAGGTACATGTGTACAAGTAACTTGGCATAGTTACTCCCTTGTACCGTTGGTTATTCAATCATGAGCGACCAGCCGACCACACTTGTGCTTTATGCACCACCAAGAACTTGGTTTAGTTACAAACATCATCAGAGGATGGACTATGCTCGCGATGCTATTCTTAGAAGAACAATGAAAATCAAGGCTATATATATGTTGCCTAAAGTATAAGCGGTCTTATGAATCTACTCCATTTCTTGAGTAAATAACATATAACTAATCCCTAAAAAACTTCAACTCTACAAAATATTGTTCGAAATATAAAAGTAGTTTACTTTAAAGAAAACTATAATAAAACAGAAGTTGGGCTTGAAGAATCTCAACTGTGGAATTTTGAAATTAATAACCTTAGTTAACACAACCAATGAGTCATCCATGACTCTTTTTTTTAAAAAGGAAACACATGTCACCAAATATATAGATTGATTCAAATAATATTTGTGGGTTACATTAGCCTTTCCAGCTAATTACTATGTACTATATTGTACACTGTGAAAAGATTGATCTATTGGCCATTTGATAGTTGATATATAGGCCAATGGTCAACCAAAAACAGTTGCCAATATATAGTTCACCCAATAGCCAAGTGTCCTTACTACACGGTTAGGAGTTGTCTAACCGGGAATCACAACAATTTGCCACGCGTTTCACTAGGACCGTTGGTGATTAACTTTTCCTTGACTGCCCGTTGGCCATCATACTTTCTTGTTGGTATAGGAACAGTAAAGGTGTTACTGTGTTAGATATATAGTACGATTCCTTAGTTCCTTTCCGAGCCTTGAATTCTATCTTTGTTGTCGTGGCTGGGTCCACAAACGGCATAAAAGCATGGTATGGGCATAAATACAGGAACATTTGTGTCGCTTCCATTAAAAAAGTCACGTTCCACGCCACTGTCCATGCGTATTAAGTTGGTCAAACATCTAGAAATGTAGCCATGTGCAATGTACGAAAGGTAGGAATGACAGGAGGTGGAACTGAAACCATTCCCCTAGAAATGTACGAACTGTTTAGAAGCTTAGATTTTTTTCTAAAAAAACACATTTGCAGGGAAGGTACGTTACTAAATTTTCAAGATTAAACTTTATTTAGTTCCCGAAGAACATAATGGTAACCAGTAATTTAGCATAGGTATCTAAAAAAACCCAAAACACTTACAATTTGAAATTTAGAGAGTATTAAATAAAAGAAAAGTTGAGTTTCGCATACATAGTTATGTATATACAGACCTATGTTCATATTCTTCATACACTATATCTCTAATTTCTCCCATTGTTATCATTATTTACTTATTTGTCGATGAACGACGCCTCAGACAGAGAAAATGTTCTTATTCCCATATTGAGCCTACATTTTTTTATAAAATGCGGAGAACGTATTTAATTAAGAGAAATTTACATAACAACTAAATAAAACAAAAAATGGTAAGCAACAACTACTACAAGCCATCAACAACGAGAGCAAACCACCAAACAAGTAAAGTCAAACATAAGCCACAATCAAGAACTCTCTCACAACAAGAGACAAGCATACATGAGCAATAAATATATTTGTTATATTTCAAAAATCACGAAAAATATTCTAATTTAGATATGAATGATAGTAAAAAAATATTTAAAACTATATTAATATCCATGTCATATACTTTATATAAATTGTTATTTTATATAAATTATACATTCAAACATCTTGAGAAGTGAGGAAGTTAGTGCAAACCAAAGATGACTATATTTTCATGATCTATGAGATTCCTTCGAGTAAATAGTAATTTGAGCGACATGGTGCATTTTAAATGACCATTTATGCATTCATAGTATTTAAGAGTGCAATC